CCCCCCCAAAAAAACAAATCAGGAAATACAGGGCAACCAGGAAACCACTAAACATCAGCAAGGGAAAGAGAGGTCATCATGGGCTTTCCTAGCGGTTATACTTTTCAGTGCATGAGTAGGCAGTTCCATGGCACAGAGGCGCACGCAGACGAACGCAAGACGCTCATCGGCAACACCTGGAGTGGTGACATGGCTTCTCTCACAACTCGCAGGCCAGTTGGGGCTATGCCCGTTCTTGTCTCCTCAAGAGGCTGTTGATCGAACCACACCGGGGCGAAGCAACACAGTGGCAGGGCTCTGCAGAGGCCACCACTGGATGCTCCTGCAGTTGAGGGGAGCAGTGAGGGAGGCCAGCGGCTGGTGGAGAAGCTCTTGAACCTGGTCAGCATCAAGGGCGAGGATATCATGGTTCAGGCCCAGTCTGAAGAGACCCTTAGGTATCACCGCCTTCGGGCTAGTTTGCCAGCTGCCCTCTGGAAGTGGAAGACTATTACAGGCTGGCATTGGAAAGGCTCATCGGAGCACATCAACGTGCTTGAGATGAGGGCCGTGCTCACCACCCTCAAGTGGCGAATCATGAAACAAAGGACTTTTCGCTCCAAATTCATTCATATGATCGATAGTCTTGTGTGCCTACATTCTCTGTCGCGCGGACGAAGCAGCAGCAGGAAGATGAGGAGGACGGCCGTCTAGGCGGCCTGTCCGCAAGAAATGGTGAGAAGGCAGACAGCGCATCTCGAAGGTAGAAGTAAGGCAGCTAGACAGGCACAGAGAAGAAACCTAGGCCCACTTAGGAACCTCACAGTACAGAGCAAGACTAGAGATCGATACAACAAAGCACTTGAGAAGTACAAGAACTACCTAAAAGATGAAGGCAGAGTCTTTCCGCGCGATGCGGCTGGTCATGACTACCTCCTCTCGCAGTACATAGAGTTCCTTTGGGAAACTGGTGAGGGGCGAGCACTCGCCTGCGACACAATCGCATCTGTGCAGGACCAGCAGCCTGCCATAAGAGGACATCTGCCCAGTTCCTCCTCCACCAGTAGAAGCTCTACATGTCCTTGTCGGTTACTCACTTTTCTCGGGCAACGGGCTCTTTGGACTCTCCTTGCTCCTTGCGTTTCATGGGCTCCTACGCACCGGGGAGCCGCTGGGCATCCGAAAGACTCACATTACTCAGATGGGACCAAGGTCGCCCGCTGTCATTTCCCTCGGCATGACCAAAGGAGGGAAGAGCAAGTGAAAGTGTGACGATCCGAGAAGAGGAGACACTTCGCAGACTGTGGCAATGGCTTCAAACACCGGGTACCCCGTCATTGCTCTGCGGTACACTACACAGTTGGAGGAAGACTTTTAACGATGCTCTGGAGGCATGTCAGCTTGGAGGTCACGACTTCCGTCCATACAGCCTTCGAAGAGGAGGTGCCACCATGTACTTTGGACGGCGTGGCTCGTTAGATCGCCTCCTAGTTCAGGGGAGGTGGGCCTCGTCGAAGACGGCCCGAATCTACATAAACGAAGGCTTAGCGGTACTTGCTGAACTCAAGTTGAATTTTAAAGCACCAGCCAAAGCTTATGCCAGACAATACACCAAATCTCTCATGTCACCGCTCCAAACCCTTGAGCTTCCCCCAAAGGGGAGGCCAGGGGGACGTGGAAAGAAG